GTCCCTTCCAGCCCTAATGTCTATGAAGTCTATGAAGTCTATAAAAACAATTTTGGTTTTCTTTTTCTCAGTCCCCACCAAAATCTCATTGCAAATAGACCGTATATATTTACCAATCAATTCCTGACAGTGCTTTGCTAACTGAAGGCATAATCTCAACAATGTAGGTTTTCCAGGTCAATATGGAGAAGTACAGGCAGAGCTGAACAGTAAAATACACTACCAGTGGCATGGACGGTGCTCGATTGCCCACTGATTAGGTCAAAGCAGCTGTGCACAAACTTCCAAGAGCAGAACAGGTCCATTGTACATATGATATCACATACCTGTCTCAAGTTGGTATAATATCTTGGCAGTATGGGCATCTTTACATGTGCTCCAGGAAGAGGGAGGGACACTTAAATTAGAGCAGCTCCGGAGAGCTTAGTTAAAAAGCCGCTGCTACCATTTTGAAGCATGGGATGGTAAATAAATGAAATGCTGAGGCTGCTACTCTGTGTCTAATTGAGTCTGCTCTGATGCATGCAGGCACTGGGCATATGTATAGATACCCTATGATTTTAGGTTTGAATATCAGCCATAACTTTGAATGATCATCTTCTGTTGGTTTCACCCTCAGTTTTAATGGTATATGACTATATTTTGGGATATTAGAAATCTTATATTTGTAATTCTAGGTCTAAAATTAATTTGAATTAAAATTTCTCTTTCCTGCCATAGAAAACCAAGTTAAATAAGTAGGTACAACTATATTGTTCTAATGTTAACCTAGTAAGGGATAATCTTGCACCAAACTTCAGAAAGTGTAAAGGTTGCTGATTATCTGTAATATTTCTTCAGTTGATCATGTGTTCCCTGACTCTGGAATGAACCTACTTGCTGCATATGATCAATGGAAAGAATGTGCTGATAGCAAAGCTTGCTGTGATTATTCACTGCATATTGACATCACTCGCTGGCATGAGAGCATCAAAGAAGAACTGGAAGCCCTAGTAAAAGACAGAGGTAAGGAGAAAAGTAATAGTGTTCTAACAACAAGCAAGTACGAAAGCAAAAACGAGAAAAAGGAACAGATTCTTCTAGGGCAATTTGCATCCCTATACTGCAGTACTTTGGAAAACATGCATCCTTGTAATGTAGTACTTTAGTGGCTTAAGACAAAATTATTGAGCCCAGTTCTAAGCTTCTTACACAGAGAAGCTTCCCAGTAACTTTCCGGTAGTTTTGCCAAAGTAAGGTATTACAGGACTGAGCAAGTTGATCTAGCAGACTAGTTAACTTGTACCTGAAGTCTCTCTGTGTAAGAACCCAAAGATGCCCTCTAGTGTACTTTGGAAACCATGTATGCTACAAGAATACATACATTTCACTGATGCATTGCCTTATTTAGATTGCCTCTTACTTCCAGATATGCCTGCACAGAACTGACTTCAGTGGACATTACAGTCTTACACCCAGGGACAGAATTTGTTGCTTAACATGGAATTTTTAGTGACTCTCCTATTACATTTTTGAGTGGCTGAGTTAATGAAGAGCTGTCCAGTGTTCAAAGTGGCCATTTTTTCATACTTTGTCACATACATCAGTAAAATGTAAAGTATTCCCTAGAATGCCCATGATTTAAAAATCATGGACTTTTATCCACTTAAAAAAACAATAGCAAAGAATGTCATGACACACCACTAAAAGAATTGCATCACACATTGTGTAGAAATGAAGAAAGAGTCCTCTGGAATACAGTACACATAGATGTTATATGTGTATTCTCTAACTAAATAACAGTTCTTTGATAGAAGAGGATCTCCCTTTGCAGTATATTGTAGTTAATAACATGATTAAAGTATAACTTTATTGGGTATTAGCCAACATCAGCCTGCACAATTTAAACCTCTTCTGGGGACAAGATGAATTTTAGATCTATGAATTTGATCTTTCCTGATAGTGGTTTGCCTACAACTTATGTTTCATAATCCACATTTGAAGCCTGAGCTTCACAAGAACACACATTAGATTTGCAGGTTCTTCTCCCCAGACCTAAATCCAAGGCCAGAATCCATTTCAATCTTACACACTAACCTAAAAACCTTCCCCAGAAATGAACACTGTTTCTTCAGCCCATCTCTAGATCTTTGCTGTCTGCTGTAATAATAAATACATGTGTAATTTTTTTTAAAGGTGTGAACTCCTTTCTCGTTTTCATGGCTTACAAAGACAAACTCCAGTGCACTGATGCCCAGGTAACACAGAACCATTGACATGCAATACAAATAATCAACTATGTTTAGAATATAAGATTTGACCACTCTGACGCTGCGATATTCTTTTTTTTTCTTGACAGATGTATGAAATATTTAGCATTATTCGAGAGTTGGGTGCCATTGCCCAAGTTCATGCTGAAAATGGAGACATCATTGATGAGGTGTAGTACATATATTTCTTTATATTAAAGAGTATTTGTAATGTAGTTATTTAAAGCAAAATATTGCCTATAAAAGATACAGTTGCCTGAAGAGCAGTGGAAAGCAGAGCAGAACCAGATACATTTCCAGTATTACAGTCATTCAGTTAGTTCAATAGAAAATGGCAGAAATCAGTCCAGAAGGTATATGTTGCTACGACCACATGACTGCTTTTTGTGATAGGAGCAGCATGTGCCTGCCCAGTGCATGTTGCCAGTCATGGTATCACTTAAGTCATTCTACTGAAATCGCTGGCAGAAACTGTCATTGATTTTGATGGTTTATTAAAAAACCACTACAAGAGCAAGCTCCATTGGGTCTGCAGTTCAGCTGCCAGAATAGAAGTTTGTATCTTTTTCCAGTACTTCCTGTAATGTTAGGTTTGCACACTGCGTTACTGGGGCTTGTGGGGAATACAGAGATGGTACACTCCACTCACCTTCTTTCCTGCCTCATCCTTCTGGGCTGGATTTGACCTCCAGGATAATCTGATAATCTGAGTTTAGAAAGAAATGGTCTGCTAGCAAATCCTGGTATGACACTGTGCACTGAAAGAAGAATCTTTGGAAGAGCACCCGGACTTTGTATTTAAAAACAGATGCATCCTGTTTGCATGTACTCTATTATCATCACAGATGTACAAATATATGCACCTGCTGTGGACATTTTAGGGCGTCATGCTTCACTAAGGTTTGTCTTTGGAGATGTTTATTCCTGTTTTGTTTAGAACTCTGAGGATCCCATCCTGAAAGTTAAGCAGATTTTGGGCTTTTACAATAATGTGCATTTCAGCTGGGTCCATACTTGCAAATATAAGGGCAAATAGCAAGAAAGGAGTGTTTTGCATTCAAAGAATCATAGAATCAGTGGACTGGAAGGGACCTGGAAAATCATCAGGTCTGGTCCCCCGCCATAGGCAGGAAGTTAATGAGCTCAGAGTAGCTCAACGAGGTGCTTGTCCAGCCTCCTCTTGAATATCTCCAAGGATGGAGACTCTACCACCTCTGCTGGGAGAGTGCTCCAGGCTCTAGTTACCCTTATGGAGAAGAAGTTCTTCCTTACATCCAATCTAAATCTTCCCTCAGTTTGTGACCATTGGTCCTCATCCTCCCAAGGGGTGCCTTCCTGAAGGGTTGTTCCCCCAGATCTTGATGCTCCCCACTGACATACTTGTAGGTGGCTATCAAGTCACCACGCAGCCTCCTCTTCCTCAGATTGAACAAGTCTAATTCCCAGAGTCTCTCCTCATAGGGCCTATCCTCCAGGCCCCTAACCATGTGGGTGGCCCTTCTCTGCACCCTCTCAAGCTTATCTGCATCCTTCTTGAAGTGCAGTGCCCAAAACACTGCACAATACTCCAGTTGCAGCCTCACCAATGCTGAGCAGAGAAGGAGAAGCACGCTCTGGATGTGCTGGCAACACATCGGCTGATGCGCACCAGAGTTCTGTTTGCCCTGCTGATGACTTCATTGCACGGGTCTGTTAATTTTCAACCAGCTGCTTTTTATTTTTAGAACAGGAAAAAATGCAAAATAAATGTTGGGAATAAACAACACAGAATAAAAAGAAACTTGTCATTCATTCTAAATTATTTCAGGTAACTGAAGGGCCATGTTAAATGCAAGGAAAGTTTCAGATAGAATACCTTTTCTCAATACTTCAAAAGGCCTTTGTTATAACAAACAAGACTGAGCTTAATAGCAGATTCCCCCTTTAGGATTTTATCTGACAAACATTCTCTTTTAATTGGCTGTAATTCCAAGCAGTTCTGTCTTCAAAAGTATTTCTTGAAGCTGCCAGCATGATAACATTAGAGCCCTGTGGATGAACTTCAGGGAATCTGCAAAAGGAACACAGAGGGTACATCTACATGAGACAATGCATAGTAGACTCATTCTATTGCGCATTAGCATGTCACAGCAAAAACTGGGCTAGTGTGCAGTAGAATGAGTCTACTGAGCATTTAGCATCACACAAAAACTGTGCACTGTTGCTACTGCACATTAGTGCTGGCTACTGTGCATTTATGTAGTACCTCATATTAGAGGTATTAAACATAATGCACATGCAGACGCACCCAGAGGGTACACTAATGAAAATCACATAAGAATAGATCTTTTAAGAGCTACAGGATCTGGTCTGTAGGACTGTTTAGTAAAACATGGCCATGCAATTCATCACAGAGATCAACTCCCAGCTAAACAGAAGCCTTGAATGTCATGAGAACACCTAAATATGGGGGAAGTCTAAAGGAGACTGTGCTATAGAAATCATTATCCTATTTATTTAGCCATGTGCTTCAGAAAAATGAAGAGAACTTGGATTCAGCTCTGTGTGTGTGTACACAAGACACTTACTGTGCAATAGCCTAATAACACAGCGCAGTAGTATGCCGGTCAAAAACCATGTTAATATGCTACTGCGCTGTTTTATTAGGCTACTGTGCAATAACTATCACAAAAAACCCATGCACCCGCACTACTGCACAGTAACTGTAGTTACTGCAAATATAGCTAGTACTTCATTAAGCAAGTACTGAACTAGTAGTTACTGTGTATTAGTGAACATGTAGACAAGCCCTATATGTATGCTAGAGTCTTTTGGCCTACACCCTAAATAATATGAAGTCCCTGATAGTTGAGGAGGTGGTAACAGCAAAAAGTGACTGCACCCACCCAGAGATAGCTAGGACCCAGGGCTATACAAATCACAGGCAGTGCTGGTGAAGAAGGATTGCAGCCAACACACCCAGGGGATGTGTGGATTTGGTATGTTCCCTGATAAGGAGTTACACTATTTGAAACTTAGTAAGAGAAGTTTCTTAACCCTTAACAAGAACCTGGATGAAATGCAGTCCATGGCAGCATTATTTATTCAGTATTCAGAGCTTCAGCAGGGATGTTTTCATCTTTCTGACTTGGCACAAATAACTTTATATCACTTCCTTTCCTTTTTCATGTCCTTGTGACAAGTTATTCAGCAGAATCTGGAGATTGCATTGGAATCTGACAGGCCTTGCTGTGAGTGCCTCTGCTATGGGTTTGAATGTGCGATCTTGGGGCTATCAACCATGCACCTTAGTGCCTGTGCCACCCCTGCCCCTTTATATTGCTCCATGTAGGTATTAGGAGGGAGACGTTCTTAGCTTACTAATGGACTGTACATCACTTGCTCCTAACTCTTTCTCCAAAACGGTGCTTTGGGTAGTGGTAAGAGCAAGGAACTCACTTCTTCCTCTTACTAGATTCCATACATTGTAAACATTTGGCTCAGCAAGTGCCTACTACCTCGAGATAAGCACACAGAGGAAAATGGTACCATAAGCAGAAGAATGTGAAAATCAGTGCTAATTAAAATTGTAACATCCCTCTATAAATGGGGGAATATACAGAAATTTTCTCTATGCTTGTTTGATATGACCTGTATAAACTGTTATCACAGCTAAGACGTGTGGGACTTCACAAGTCCCTCAAGATTTTTAAAAGGATAATAATGCCCTGTGTAATGGAGCTGCTCAGCATTCAGCTTCCTGCTCTACACTGCACTTAAGATGTATGTATTAATGGTTTGGGAAAAATGGATCCTTGGTCATCATTTGTACTTAATTGTTTCTAAACAAATGAAAACAACATTATGGTGTCAAACTATTAGAGTGCTTCTATGCTAAGGTAGTGGCATGAGATTAATCATAGGAAGATGCTATACCTTTTAATAAGATGCTTCAATTGTCATGGACATAAACATACTCAGGGATAGTAGTCAGGAATCTTCACAACCTTACAAGTGTTTCTGAATATAGTATTTCAGATCCCAGATGAGTTTAGACAAGCTGTTCATGTTACTTACTGCTTCTCTCATTCATCTTCATTTACCTAGGAGCAAAAGAGACTGTTGGAACTTGGGATTACAGGACCAGAAGGGCATGTTCTCAGCCACCCAGAGGAGGTAATGTCTTTAGGTCTTCAAATGGACCTATTTAGAGCTTTAGAGTAGTCTCTGTTCATGTCCATTCAACTAAAAGAGATGTTTTAAGGCAGTGTCTGGTTATGTTCTTGTTTCCCAAGGTTGAAGCAGAGGCAGTGTACCGTGCAATCACAATAGCAAAGCAAGCCAACTGCCCCTTGTATGTCACAAAAGTAATGAGCAAAGGTGCAGCAGATGTCATCGCTCAAGCGAAAAGAAAAGGTAAAATGCTGCTTTATATTTGCACAGTAACTGAAACCTTTTGTTGCCATGAGTATCACTGTAGTGGACAATTGGTAATGGTTTACTATTAGTCAATGTCTGGCACACCTGAAGAGCTCAAACACTTTATATTAGCTCTGTTTTCAAAATGTGCTGACGTTTAATTGCACTGACATGAACTCAGCAGAGCTGAGAATATTTTTTTATAGACTTTGCTACCCAAAACTCTTCCAGCACAGTTGAAAAAAGAAATGTTTTGAAAAAAATCACTCCATCATGCTCTGAACAAATGAGCCTGGAAAAAGATGAGAATTCCAGCTGGTGACATTATAGTAAGTCAGAGAACTATTCCTCCAGGGAAACAAGGTACAGGAGACACAGTGCTTAGAAGGCAGTTACTGGGCACATCTACACATGCATTAATGCACCATAATAACGGTGCATTAAGTTTAGTAACTGTGGTGACACTAATAGTGCAGTAAACTAATTCTACTGTGCATTAGTGCATTAGCATGGCTTTTGCCGTGATGCAGTAATGCACAGTAGAGTTAGTCTGCTGCACTTTTAGCATTTTATGTAGCATCTTCCATTGGGTCATATCCTGAGCAGGGGTAAATCAGGGGGTTTCTATTACAACTGGTGGAAATATGTTAATCTACACCAGCTGGGGAACAAATTCACAGTGCATAGACTTGGGTAATTAATAAAGGAGAGAGACCATTATATCCAACTGATCTCCAGTGCAGAAATTATAGACTGTTTAGAGTCACAATATGCTATTCAATAGCTTCTCTGAGCTTTTATGCATGATCACAGAGTAGCCTTAAAGACACAAGAGCTTTTAAATCATCCAAAACTCCCAGCTTGAATCACTTCTTTTATTAAATGAATCAATGGTGACAGAGCAGTTATTAAGTATGGCAAGGAGCTGCTTACCATGGCACATAAAAGACAATCAGAAACATTCAGTCATGAGGGTAGAGGACCAAATCCATCCTCAGTGATTCGATCCTCTGATTTCAATGGAATTGCACTTGGAACATTTTTCCTAAGTTTTTGTATACTTTTTGGTCCCAGTTGAAAGGATTTCCAATTTTCCCTAGCGTGTTACAAGAATGGAGCTAGCTTCTGGAATGCTTGTTTAGTCATTCTCAGGGAAAAAATCCGTACTGGACAAGATTTTATTTACAAAGCAAATAGGAAATGGCCTAGACTTTTGTCTGATTGGCAGTCTACTCATACAAGCAGACGAGTTGGCTGAATTTCAGTAAAGTAATAGAAACTGGATCAAACCATCCTTTATTGCTAATCTCAGGCTTTGTACTGTGAGAAAAGAGAGCTCTCCACTGGGAGCACACTCAGGTTATCAGACTATTCTCTAGTGTTGTTATTCTCTAGGCACAGTTGTGTATGGAGAGCCCATTACGGCCAGCCTTGGCACTGATGGGTCACACTACTGGAGTAAGAACTGGGCCAAAGCTGCAGCCTTTGTCATGTCTCCTCCAATCAGTCCTGACCCTACTACACCTGAGTATCTCTCTTCACTGTTATCCTGGTAAGTTGGAAAGGACTGAAGGATTGTGCAGTGTTTACATTCTCACTAAAATTGAAAGAGCCAATAGAACTGAGTACACTGAAATTGTTGGGTTAATGTGAGCACCATGACCTACAGGGTAAAATACTGGTTTTAGAGTCAGACCTGGTTTTAACTGCAGTTTGGCCACTGATTTGCTGTATGACACTGGACAAGTCATTCACTTCTCTTTGCTTGTCCCCTCTTTCCCCTTCTGGACTTTACCTATCTTGTGTGTTTGGACAGTAAACTGTTTGGGCCAAGCTGTGTCTTTTAATATATGTTTATCACATTATATTGTGAAGGACTCCGAAGCACCAGATGTGATATAACCAAGGAGGGATGAGAATGGGTTAGAACTATTTCTCTAGCTACAGTGTTCCCTGTACTAATATGATATTAAAATTGGAAGAAAAGTTTTACTGGCAATTTAAGAAGAAGGGTTTTATTACTGAGGATTTTAGAAAAATCTATGAAACATCTGTGAATCTGTTGCCTGATTGGCAGTTCTGTGAAATATCAAATCTGTGCAATGTTATAAGCCTTGAGGGTCAGGTGTCACAGAGTTGTGTCAGTATGCTATCTTAGGCAACAAAACACAGTGCAGTGTTTCACACAATCATATCATGATATGGCAGTGTAAGATTGTGAGACACTGCACACGCAAAGCAAAGCAAACACTGATGCTTTTACAGTTTTCAAATTTAGGAAAAAAGTAAACACATAAAAAATAGCTAGTTATCTTATGATCATGTCTTCTCCCTACCATCCAGGGTGAAATCCTGGTGTTATTTATATTAGTGAAAGCTTGGCCACTGGTTTCACTGGAGCTAGAATTTCACATGCAGCAGATTTTGAGATCTCAGCTACGGTCAGATGTTACATTTGTAGCACTATATATGCCCCTGTAGCGATATAGAAGTTGAGGGGACAGGTGGTACAGAAATGTTCCAGGATGAAGCAGTAGCTTCTCTGTAGTGTTACATTTTGTAGGACTTGTAATGCTATCCATAACATTTGTAAAGTGCACCATAGCACTGTGGTGGTCACTTAGACCCCTGATATCCCACAATTCCCTGGTCTGCCTCACCCACTGCCCACTTCAGGGGGCAAGGAGAGCAGGGTTGACAGTCACTGAGTTCAGTCACAGGGGAGAGCACAGACTGCCTGCTTCTCCACCTACCTGCTCCCAACCCCGTGAAAAGTTAAGCCATCATTGAGCACAGAACCAAAATCAGGCTCATTCATGGCAAGCAGAACTGTAGCCCCGCACAAACAGAAAATACAAGCTGATTATAATTCAATGTAAATGCAGAATTAACATTTAACATTACAGGTGTTCCTGGGCTTCATAAAAAACCCATCCCATTCCTTCATCATAGCTCTGGTTCTTTGAGCTGTAACAGGGTCTGGTACATGAAAACTGGTTTTATCCTGGGCTAAAACAAGTCCAAGAATACCTATAGGCCTGGGACAGACATTACACATAAACCCGTTTAAATGATCAGAGACTGATTTAAACCTGTAACAGAACAGATATTCAGTGCACATAAACCAGTTTGAAAATGGCTGAAACCAGTTTGAAATGAACCTGGTTGAATATAGTATCAGATTTAACTGATTTGGCTCAAACCAGTTCATGCATTGTCTGTCCCAAACCCTTTGCTGGTTTAAGATAAACCAGACACCCCCAGCATCCCAGTATGCTCTTGGGCTAGGTGGGGTCTCTGCTTCAGCCCAGCCAGGCTGGCCTCACCCCTCTGCTCCCCAGCCCAAGCAGGGACAGGCAGGGGCGGAGGTCTGGCCAGAGTAGGGTTAAATTCCCCCCTCCCTGTGCCACCGGCAGGGACCTGAGCCAGGGCTGCCTGGCACTTCCCCCTCGCTGCTGCAACAGGGGGGCACCATGGTCCTTGAGGCAGAAGGGGGCAGGGAGGAGAGTTAGTTTCCCCTATAATCCACTGGCAGCTGGGTCTGCCCACCATGGCCAGGGCAGCTGCTCCCTGCCTGGAATAGGCCCCCAGCTGTCCCCTCTGCCACAGGCCTGGAGGGAGGAGGAATAATCCCCTCCCAGCCCCCCCAGGGGCCCTGGCCATCCGTGTCCCCTCCCCACTGCTGCAGAGGGATGGGGCAGGGCCCTTATTAGGGGCAGCAGCCCCGGTCACACTGTGGGGGAGTGCAAGCCCCTTTCTAACAAGGGGTCCTTCAGTATCCTTCCGAAAGGGATCTCAAGGCCAAAATGAAGTATAAGACTGACTTAAGCATTCAAAGTGAAATTTTCAAAAGCACTTAAGGGTCGAGAGCAATACTTTTAAAGGTATTTAGGCATGTAGTTTCCATTGAATCAGTGGGAGTTAAGTGCTTATACACCTTTGCAAACTTTCTCTTTATCTCCCAATGACTTTCAGCTGGATTTAAAAGTGTATATCACGTAGATACCTTTGAAATTTTACCTTATGGATGAAATGTACTCCTATGCATTGGGCCGGGCACAGGGCCTGTGAAATGTTTATATAGCATGTTGCCTTCTTACACAGGAGTGTGTTATACTTGAAGAGTTAGCAATTGCATAGATAAATAATCTGAATTATTATGCCAGTTTTGAGCCAGTGATTTTATCCATTAATTGCATTTTGGTTTGTTTTAATGCAGCGGGGATCTACAGGTCGCGGGCAGTGCTCACTGCACATTTACCACTGCACAAAAGGCAGTAGGGAAGGATAATTTTATCCTTATTCCAGAAGGAACAAATGGCATTGAAGAAAGAATGTCAATAATTTGGGAAAAGTGTGTGGTAGGTAACAAAATACCTGAAACATTGGCTGATTTATCTGTGAAAGTGTGTGCAGCTTGTTCTTGGTCAGCTCACTGGGGTTAGATAATAACAGTTCTCTTTAGCTGAAGTGAGAAAAGTATTTTGTCTTACATTGTTAGTCACACTTTACAGGGATATTATCAGGACTGTTACTTAACATAACCTTGTCAATGAGAGAAACTGTGACATTTGAGTGCAGCTGTCCTGATAGAACAACTTATTTGAAGAGCATCCCATCTCAATTGGAGCTGTAATCAGAAAAGAAAATCTATCCAGGAGATTCTTTTAAACATGAGAAATGATGTCTCCTTTCAGACCTTGCAGTGATACCAAGCAGGCCTTGCAGAATGTCTTCATTTATAATTTCTGAAACATTTCAGTACCTTTGAAATTAGGTATAACTCTTTGATGGGATCAAGCACACAATAAATCTTGTATGGTTTGTTGAGGCAGTTATTTTTTTTAAATTTGCTAATTGTTTACCCTATTACTGATGATGTTTACCTTGCTAAAAATACTGTTTTTCACATGAACCTCGTACCCTGCATCTCACTGTGGGGTCTTATACTTCACCGTTCATTTGAGGTGTGCGGTTGTGCTTTTTAAGTCCCTTTTTTCGTATCCTCCTAGCAGTGTGAATTTGAAGATTAGTAGCACACAAAAAGATCCAGCTCTGTAAATGTTCCATTTTGCTACTTCAGGCATGGAGTTACCTGAAGATGGACTTAATTTAGTGTTAAGTTAAAAAAAATTCTGAATGTGAATCCAGCATTGGTGAAGGAAATGAGTCCTAGAGATGAGAGCATTGCCAGATAAATGATAAAGAGACATCAGAGTAGTGATAGATGTCTTCATAGTCTCCTCTTCTCCAAGGAGGCTTATTATTCAGTGATGTAAGATTCAGTATCTGTTGCTGTGAGTGCCATGGCTGTCACTAGCTTTTGGCTGTCTCTTCACTGCCTCAGTTCTGGAAATGGACCATGCAGGAGTGGGTGGCCTGGCATGGTTTTTTTTTGCTACCCTGGAAGCATCCAGTGTGTACATACCTTGTTTCCCACAACGCCACTTTCACAATGGCTGTTAATTGGGAACAGCAATTTATTTTCAGCTGTAAGATGTTCTAATATTTTTTTAATAACTAGTACAGCAGGAAGTTTTATGTGAGTGCAGCTGCTGTGATCTTCTCCTTCCGTTAAGGGATAAAGATGAGTATCGGTAACTTTATCTAGAAAATGCTAAGTCACTACTTGCCCTTCTCAAATTCCCCTTTTGTTTTGATTTCCAGGTTTCAGGGAAGATGGATGAGAATGATTTTGTAGCTGTGACCAGTACAAATGCAGCTAAAATCTTTAATTTTTATCCCAGGAAGGGTCGAATTGCTGTAGGCTCTGATGCTGATTTAGTTATATGGAATCCCAAAGCTACAAAAATTATTTCAGCGAAAACCCACAATCTGGTAAAAACTCTTGCTGTTTTAATTTCTCTTTTTTGTTAATTTTGCTGCCAGCACAAGTTTGCGAAACCTTAATCAAGTTAAACCATTTACCAAACTTAAGGAATAATTTGTGTAAAATATTGAATAACCTTGAGTTCTGGTTAAACTCCTAAATAAATTCATCCTTTCCTTCCTGCAGGGCACATGGAGTTTTAATGTGCTAGCATGTTAATTGAGGTGCAATAAAGCTATAGTTCTAAGGCGGGGTTTGGTTCTATTGTGCAAATTACTAGGCTGAGTGATGTACTCACTATGAGCTGAAAAAATGCAAGCGCTGTAATATTTCAAATGGAAAAATTAGGACCAAATAATAAGACCTTGTAGCTATGCTACATGCAAAGTGCATTCATACTGGAATAAATCATGAGTTCCTTGGAGTATTTTGACCTAATCTTAACTAAGGTAAATTCTCATTTCACCAAATGAAACTTTAGTCCAAAATTTAGAAGTGAGTATCAGCAACTTGGGAAACCCATCTCACCTCTACCTCTACAAATGAAGTACTTCTACTTTTACAGTAGCATACAAGTCCTCCTTCTTGCACTGGCTACAGTCAAGCTTATCATCCCTTTCTCAGAGTCACTCAAATTATGCCTTCTCTAGGGTGTCATAGGTCTTAGGTATTCCAGAATTAATTTATGCCCAAAAACTTAGAAACCCAGATCATTAGAACAAGATTAGAAAAGTTACTGTTAAGCTCAGAGGTAGCATTGTTAAGTTTAGGGTGTTGAGCTAGCTGACATTAGATCATTTTATCACTTTTGGTAGATGGATGGGCTTTCGTTAAATGGATGTAAGACTTCTGACAAGAGATTGTTTTTTCCTGCAAAAATGAATATTTTTGCATCAAATGTGCATTATGGTTGAAATGTTCTGATTTCATTTGAAACTGACTAAAAATGCTGAAAGATTTTCACTTTGATTTTCAGTAAAGCTTTTTGTTTTTGCTGTTTGATAAAGAAGAAAAGTGCCTTTTTTAAACCAAAAATAGTATTTTTGAAATGTGAAAAATTTGGTATTTTTAATGAAAATTAAATTTGGAAGTTTTAAAGAATATTCAAATTTTCCCCAAACTTTAATATTTCTTTCTTTAGCATTTTGGTTAAAGGGTTTGCAGTTGCCTAGAAAACATTTCAATAGCTACTATAAACCTAGAAGCTTATTTAAGCAGGGGACTACTCAATATTTGGGATATTTATTCATCACTAACATGGGTCAGATTTGCTTGAGAAATATAGGGTGCACTTTGAGGTGTTGCTAAATGTTTTCTAAACCTAGTTTCTTCCTTCCGATTTGTTTTAAGATCAGCAAATTAATAGAGGGTTACATTATTTCAATCACAACCTTAAAAGTTAAGTAAGAAATGATTGATTGTACGTGATAAATGCAACACAAAAATCCATGTGTATATATAATTGGGGAGCATCTGGGCTCTTGGGGTTTTTTTTGGATTAAACCTTAAACTAATTGAGTGTCCTGATTTGGTTTTGCCAGAATGTGGAGTATAATATCTTTGAAGGAACAGAGTGCCATGGTGCTCCTACTGTGGTTGTAAGTCAAGGAAAAATAGTGTTGGAAGATGCAAATCTCTTTGTCACTCAAGGGTCCGGTCGCTTCATTCCTAGAAAGACTTTCCCTGATTTTGTTTATAAAAGAATAAAGGCAAGAAACAGGGTAAGGAGAATTTTCTTTGTATCAAAACAGTCCTGTGTCTCTGTTCCACTTTATTTCCATTCGTAAATTGCAAATACTATCATGTTAGAGTCCCCTGACTTCCTGGTGCAGTAGAAAAGGAGGAACCAAGCAAAAAATTAAGATTATCTACTTAGAGGCCTTGAAAAGAGGTAATACTACCAAACAACAGACCTGGTGCATTGCTAGGCACATTAATCAATAATATCACTGTCCAAAAGCCATATTATTTGCATGACACTAATTACTAATTCACATGCATCTAAGGTAAAAGAAAAGCATATTATAGTTTAATGAATACATGCATAGATATTTAATACTGGCTGATAAGGTGTGCTGCATCTCTCTGAATGAATGGCTCATCTTCAAGGAGACTCAAGGGTAAACTACTGGGCTATAAAAAGACATGAGATGTATAATGGATTTAATTACATGGCCCTTCTACATTACATTTAAAAAGTAAAACATTTTCATAATATAGAGTTTAAACAGTATACTTCCTTTGAAATATTTGAACTGTTACCATGGTGAGATGATAGCATTCACCTTATATAACTGTAGATCTTTCTTCTTACAGATATTCTGAGCTGAATGAGTCTCGATACCGTTTCAATTCAAACAGCTACAGTAGGAAGCCACACCTAGAATATAGCTCACACTGTAGTAAATTTAAGGCCTAATCCCACAGTTCTTTTCAGCCCTTCCCAGCAATTGCCTTTTGCCTCTGTACATATCAGTCATTAGGCCATGTTCTGGGCAAGCATTATATACTTTATAATTATAGCAAACACATGCTCATCCAGGGATGTTTAGTCTAAAATGAATGGTAGAAAAGGTCAGTGCCAGCAGGCTTTGCACTTGACCTTAATGTTATCAGCACTTCTCAGAATTTAACCTGTTTTTTAAATTGCTTGTGTATGCCCTAGATTACTGGTGTGGATGGATGCTTCCTATCCCTGAGTTGTAGCCCTTGGCAGGGGATTGGAAGGAACTGGAGAACAGCAGCTGGTTTGGAAACTCTCTGCCATTCAGTGATTTCTTTCTACAGGAGAATTATGCAAGGGTCAGATATAGCAGCACTAAAGCTGTTCATTGCAGGGATTCCTAGGAGCCAAATGCGAGTTAGTGGCCTGGCCTTATTACTCTGAATGCATCGCCTCACATTCTGGCTGAATAAGC